TGAATCAGAATTATCGTGACCTCAATTTTCAATGTAAGGGCTGGGGAGATGGCTCAGTGGTATTAATAAGCGCTTTCCTGGCAAGCGCAAGGGCCTGAGTTCAATCCCTAGTTCCGAAAAAAAAAAAAAAATTTCAACGTATATAATAAATCAGATGTCAATATTGTATATTGATAGTATTTGTATATCTGTATGTAGAGAAAGGTATTTGCCAGCTATACAATCTGAGGAGGCCTGAGACTAGCAATTCTAAGAATAATAAGCCTATTTAGTGTCTGCTTTAGTTTCTAAGTACCGATACCACCTGAAAAGATTAAGACTCCTTAAAGAAATGGTGATTCCAGGACTAGAACAAGAATGATACAAGTGAGTCTGGAATATATTGCTACATTGAAGAAGTGCTCACAGAATGATACAGCAAAATCACACAACAATCAGCTCAAAGAAGTCCCATCAGCCAAGCCGGACTATGAACATCAGAAGAATTAGCAGTAATGGTATACAAGCCACTAAAATAAAACATTCACATGTAAAAGTCACAAAGCTTTTGCTTATAATGGAATATTAAGAATGCATAAGGAGGGGCTGGTGAGATGGCTCAGTGGTCTAAAGCACCTATTTAGAACAAGCTTAGCAAAGCACAGGGACCACGGTTCAATCCCCCAGCCACATGCCAGCCAGCCCCGCCCCCTGGTGGGCTGAGCTGGCCACACACACAAATAAATAAATAAGAATGCATAAGGATTTAACAGAATTAGAAAAACATGACTTGTCATCAATCATTGTAATAAATTAATTATGCCAACAATACCAGTAGGTGCTAAAATTAGTAAACAAAAGCCAGAAGGCACAAGAGCAATTTATTGACATACAAATTACCCTCCCAAAAAATTCTAATTATAAATGGAAGAAAGATGAATCTGATAGCAGAAAAACCTGAAAGGACGCCACCTTACCCAAGAGATGAAATAACATCACAAGTAATGGGCCAGGGGCCGGGGAGATAGCTCAGTAGAATAAGCGCTTCCCTGGAAAGCGCAAGGGCCTGAGTTCAATCCCCAGTTCTGCCAAAAAAAAAAAAAAAAAAGAAACCAACAACAACAAGAAGAAGTAATGAGCCAATCTGAAATCATATACCACCTTACAGGACATACAAGAAGAACATACAATCATTTCTGTGATATTCCTAGCAAAAACACAAAATCTTAAGGCAACATCTAATAAATTTATATAAGGATACATCCTACAAAGCAGCTAGATTATAGTAAACCATCAGACTCAAAGACAGATTGAGTTACTATTTCAGAATAAAGAAGATAAAAGCCAAAATGTAATTCTTAATCATTTTGCTACTGAAGAACATTTCTCAGAAAATCAGGACAACAAATGAGGTCATTAAGCATAGTAACAATATAGTGCTGTCATTTTCCAGTTCTGATGGTTGTCCTGGAATTGCATAGAGGAGTACCTCCCCTTTCTTTGGAGTGCTGGGGATGAATCTAGAGTCCAACACACACACTGCCCTCTACTACTGTAATACATCACCAGCCCAAGCACACCTTTCCTTATAGGAAATGCATACTATACTTGAGGGTAACAGTGTTATATTCATAAATTTCTCTCAAATGGCTCAAAGGAGAAAAACTCTTCACAAAATTCATACAACTTGTACATAAACTTGAAATTACTTCAAGATTAAAGGAAAAACAAGGGGACCAGCCAGATAGCTCAGCAGATGGAAATGCCTGCTTAGGCAGGCACAAGGACCAGGGTTCGATCCCTGGCATGCCATGGTGGCCCCACCCCCGGGGGTGCGCTAAGACAGCAATTGAGACTGGGCATGGTGGTGCACATCTAAAATCCCAACGCTTGGGAGGCTGAAAACGGGAGAATCACTATGAGTCCAATCTGTGCAGTGAGACACTGTAGATCCTATACTAATTACATTAGGAAGGAAAGAAGGAAGGAAGGAAGGAAGGAAGGAAGGAAGGAAGGAAGGAAGGAAGGACGGACAGACGGACAGACAGACGGACAAGGGACGGCGAAATAGCCCTGCAGTCTGAAGCACCTGTTTAGGCAAAGCTCAGGGACTGCAGTTCAATCCCCAACACCACATGACTCCCCCAGCACCATATGCTGGGCCAGCCCCGCCCCCAGAGAGGGCTGAGTGGCCACAAAAAAAAGAAAAGAAGATATCCAGCTCTCCCAACACCATTTGGTGAAAAGGCTATCTTCAAGAAAAAAAGGAAAAACGAGTTGTTGGTGTTTTTTTTTCCAATAAACAGAAAATACTAAAAAAGTGTATATATTAGAGACCTTCTTGGGGACTGGGGAGATGGCTCAGTGGAATAAGCACTTCCCTGGCAAGCGCAAGGGCCTGAGTTCAATCCCCGGTTCCGCAAAAAAAAAAAAAAAAGAAAGCAATGCTAACGTCTGCCCAACGATAACCGCCAACTCATCTATCTTAGGTTGCCACCACCTAACACAGACATGGGAAGCAAAGAGTCTAGAGACCTTCTTACATTTAACCAAGGGCAGAAACAAGAAAAAGAAGTTATATAAATTATAAATTGTATACAAATTTTAAACTTGCAAATTTTGGGGGGGGGCAGAACTGGGAACGAACTCAGATCCTGCACTTGCGGGCAAGCGCTTATTCTACTGAGCCATCTCCTCAGCCCCCAAAAATTATGTTTCAAAAAATTTTTAACTTCCATAAATTGACATGAAAACACAAAGTTAAGAGACAAATATTAGGGCTGGCGAGATGGCTCAGTGGTCTAAAGTACCTACTTGGAACAAGCTTGGCAAAGCACAGGGACTGCGGTTCACTCCCCCAGCACCACATGCCAGCCAGCCGCGCCCCCTGGTGGGCTGAGCTGGCCACACACACACACACACACACACACACACAAAATAAATAAATGTTTTTTAAAATTAAAAAAAAAAAAAGAGAGAGACAAATATTAGAGCTTGAGGCTTTAGTTCAATGATAAGGTGCTTGCTTGGTGAGCTGAAGGCTTGGCTTAACCTCCAGTACTAGAAAACAAGGGTATATTAAACTCTGGACAAAAACATACACAGCAAATACATCAGAAAAAAAATGATCTCTAATATAAAACAATCTAAAAGGAATAGAGTTATTTTAAATGAAGAAGCAACTACGGGGGCTGGAGAGATGGCTCAGTGGTCTAAAGCACCTACTTGAAACAAGCTTGGCAAAGCACAGGGACCGAGGTTCGATCCCCCAGCACCACATGCCAGTCAGCCCCGCCCCCTGGTGGGCTGAGCTGGCCACACATACACACACACAATAAATAAATGTAATAAATAATTTTTTAAAAAAAAAGTAACTACGTAAGATCACACTTGAAAAATCTTCCCAAATATTTTACTTAAAGAATTGTTTTATTTTGTTTTGTTTTTCTCCTGGAGATAAGAGTATCATCATACAGGCTGTCCTTGAACATGCTATGTAGACCAGGCTGGCCTTAAATGGTGATCCTCATGTCTTACCCTCCTGGGAGTGTTGGGATTATATGAATATACCTCCATGTTTGGCTAAGAATGGCTTTTTTTTTTTTTAGAAACCAGGGATTGAACTCAGGCTCGTGCTTATTCTACTGAGCCATGTCCCCGGGCCCAAGAATAGCATTTTTAATGGTAATGAAAACCAAACTTCTTGGGGCCGGGGAGATAGCTTAGTAGAAAAAGCGTTTCCCTGGCAAGAGCAAGGGCCTGAGTTCAATCCCTGGTTCCACAAAAAAAAAAAAGAGGCTATGAGCAATTTTATATAGTGCTACTATATATAATTTAGCAAATGCATGCCAGGGGACAATTTCACATAGTACACTGAACCCTCTAAAATGTTCACACCTCTTACACAGACTCAAATGGTGTCACCTCTATGCTAGGCACCAAACGAGACTCTTCAATAATAAAGAGATGCTTAATTTAACTTCAGTTTAATGAATTTAGTAATTCTCTCTGTATTACAGACTAAGTACTCAATAAAAATATGGCAACAATGGTATTACTGACACAAAATCATGTCCAGGACTCATAAATTTTAAAAGCAGACAAAAACAATGTCTTATGATCCAAATGTTTAACAAGTTTATTATATGTAAGAACACTCAAAAAATCTAAAAGGATAGATGATTCCTTCCTTTCTTCCCTCCCTCACCTCTTACCTCTTTTTCTCCTTTATTTTTGTAACTAGGAATTGAACCCAGGGCCTTGTACATATTGGTAAGTGCTTACCATTAAGCTATAAGCTACCTTTTTTTATTTTATTTTGAGATAGGGTAATCCCAGTTTCCTAGGTTTTCCTCAAATCTAGGATCCTCTTGCATCAGCCTCTCCTGTAAATGGGACTGTAGACATACACCACTATACCTACCTTCTTCTTTTGTCTGTCTGTAATTTAAAACAGAGGGACCTAATTGGCCTTGAACTTCTGGATAATCATCCTGTTTCCACCTTCAGAGTAGCTGGGACTACAAGTGCAGACCATCAAGCCTCACCAAGGTTTGTTTTTTTCTTTTTAACCAAAATAAAAATCAAATGTTAAGGTAAAAATAATTTCGCAAGCATATGTAAACTTCTGATATAGAATTGTTCTTGATAAAGTATGATATGTAATGAATATCAGAGTAAAACAATGATTATTTGAATCTAAGGAAATCTCAAAAGTGAGAATGGTCAGCAATAAATTCTTAAAGGCTAAATTTGTAAAGATATTATGTCCTGTAAATGTTAAAGTAATAAATATCTTACTGCCTATATTAGAAGAAACAGTAACATAGTTTTGTCTTATACTCCTATGACCTTAGCAATATTTTAGTAAGTATAATTTAGGATAATAATTCTATTTTTATTCAAATCTCTCCAGAAACTGAGAAAAGCCTTTAAGTTTAAAAATACAAAAATGTCCTTCCATCTCCTAGTTCTGAAACAAACTAATTATATTCAAATAGCAATAAAAATATCTACTGTACCTTATTATAACGATCATGTGGAACAGACTGTAAAACGATAGGTTCCATTGTAGAAACATTGGCAAATTGTACCTCTGGAATATATAGGGCACAAACCACATGAGCCCAACCTAAAAATACATAAATAGAAGTAATTCTTACAGGCATTCTTAGTCACTTTTAATAAAAACAAAATCACCGTGTTTCTAAAAAGATCCCCTAGGAATGACTACTTAAGAAATTCACAACAAAAGATGTAGTAAATCCTCAACACTGGCTTCCCCTTCAGAAGAGCCCAACCTCTTCCTGACAAAGCATTCTTAGTCATTTCTCCAGTTCTCACACACAGTAACAGAAGGGAAGCATTTATAAACTCAATAGCTGGCATTAATATTTCTAAAAAAAAAAAAAAAAACATTTCTTACAAGACAAACAAAATTATTTAGACCAATACTTTTGGAAAACCACTTCAAAAATAATTTGAAATAGTCTATTTATTATAATAGTTTCCTGGGCTGGGGATGTAGCTCAGTGGTGGAACACACTCACCTATCATACATAAAGGCCTGGATTTCCTCTCCTGCACCACCACCTACACACACACACACACACACACACACAGTTTCAACACTTTAATCCTAAGTGTTAACATTAATTTTTAAATTTTTATAGTAATGCCAATACATTTTAATACTAACATTATTTTAAATTTCTGTTTGAAATATTTTAATAACAGCATCAAATATTTCTTTTAATTTTAAAATATGAGCAAAAGTACTGAGAGTTCATGATAGTTAAGAACAGTGCAATACTGGAAAAGGAAGAAAGGCCATGGATGTGGGCACTTAAGACAAAGGGAGAGGGAAGTAGTGGCCACCTCACCCCTTCCACCTGTCCTGTGAGAGGCCCACAGCCAGGAGGAGAGTGTAGTGCAAGTACACAGGGCCTCACAGAGCCCACACCCAGAGTGCTCATAGTCTCAAACTCAGACAAAAATTGATGAAGTCAATCCTGAATCACAAATACCTCACCATCAAAGAAGCATCTTCTTGGAAGGAAAATACTATCAACTTGACTACAAATAATTTCTATGATTAATTAGAATTTTCAGAACAAAAGTCCTGAACACATGAGAGATAAGACACCATGAATGGAAATCAGCAGAGGGCCGGGAATATAGGTCAGCAGCACAAATGCCTGCCTGCCTGCCTGCCTGGGGGG